GGCCTAGACCCTTCATCAGAAAAAGGGTCTGATGAAGGGTCTAGGCCCGAAACGTCAGCCTTTCTGCTCCTATGATGCTGCTTGGCCTACTGTGTTCATCCAGCTCTGCACCTTGTTACCTTAAATCTATGCCCTCTTGTTACTGATGTTTTCCCACTAGTTGAATACCTCAATAATCTCCTCTCAACCTTTTCATTTCCAAGGAAGATAGTCCCAACTTTGCTAAAACATATAATTTCTCATCCCTGGAGCCATTCTTGTGAATCTCTCTTGCACTTTCTCTAATGCTGTCATATCTCTCCAAAATATAACATTCAGAACGGGACCCAGTATTCAAGTTTTGCCAAATCAGTGTTTTATACAAGTTTAAAATGTACTCTCTGTCATAATTAATAAAGTTTAGAATACAATATGCTTTATTAATTGTTCACTCAACCTGTCTTGCCACCTTCAATGAAAATTCACTGGTATCTCTTGTGCCTGCATCATCATGCCAACAGTCCAGAGCTGCCCTGCACAGTTCCTGATATTTGCTCAAATATGCAGCCAAGGGAAAATAGGCACCTCGCCTTGTAGTCCTGGGATCATGCTGAATGGGGTGGCACCAACATGGGAGTTCCTTGCCTCCAAGAACCAAAGGTGGACGCCACTACACCAGACCATGCCAACCTGTTGAGGTTACCACCAGGGTTAAAGCACCCTCAGGCGACAAGAGGAATCTCCAGCACTGTAGGAAGAAGTTCAGTGTCCTTTCCACTCCACCAGGTTAAGTCCTACCACCTACAATACCTTTAACTCAGTTTATTTCTGCTACGCCTGCCATCAAGGCCCATGCTCTACCACTCTCATTCATACCTGTAACATCTTCCTCGCTGACTCTCACCCACCCCAGTTCTGGGTAGCAGTAACCCTGTATGCCTTCTGTGCTGCATATTCACTTGCTTGGAAAACTTGTCCACCTGCACCAACAGTACAGCAGTGCCATCTACTTTCATCTCCTGTAATACTTAGAACGAGAGAGCTCTATGAGGAGAACCACCCATAATTGAATAGAAAGCATCCATACAGAAGGTGCCCATACAGCCTGTCTTTGACCCTCCTGAGAAGGACCGAGGCTGGCATTTGAGGTTGCTCTTGATTTACTGTGTAGGTATCCCCTAAATGAAGACTATCCCTCTTGTTGTACTGAGGCTTGCTAACAACTGTGACAAGCTTCCTAGCTTTGCGTCCATTCTAAATGGCAGTGCAAGACAGAAGTGATATGAGGTTTTATATCTCTGGCTAGGTGCAACTTGTTCCATGGGTTTTGTGCATGTCCATGAGTGCACATTGTCCTGGCTGCATCATTACAATGATAGTTGCCAGTGAAGTCCATGGTGTGACATTGTATTACAGAGTGTCCTGTAGGTGAATCAGAGTTCTTCATGGAGGGATGTTAAAGGTTATCACATGTCAGATGCCAGACTGCATGGACAGGAGGTGCATGTGGCCAGTGGTCATGGAGCGTGCCCTGAGATATTGGTGCCTGGTTTCCAGCATGGAGGTAATTCAAACATGGAAGCCATTTCATCAAATGATGACCTGAGTGCACAAGGTGCTCACCCTGGTTTCTGTGTTGAGTTTTCTTGACACAAACTTGTTTGGTGAATTTGGTAAAATGGGACTCTGAATACTAATGAGGTGCGTTGGGGTGTTAATGAGGTGTTTAACAAGCAAGATTCCATGCCAATAGATAACTTGCACCATCTAGTGAGCACCTTACTATGCTGTTGTGAAGTACATTAAAAAAATGGAGAGATGATCTGATCGTTGCTGTACTTTTTGCCTGATTCTGCCACACATCTCACCATAGGCTATGTCACTCAGGCCTCTATAAGATTCTGCACACTATTATATAGCACTGTGGAAGTACCACACAGTAGCAGTACAAGAAAGCAGCTCAGAAAGGGAAAGTAGACATGGGCAATAAATGCTGACAAAGCCACTGATACATGAATAAATAAGAAAAATACTTCAGTTTTGCACAAAGATTAGACTTTGAGAAGGGTATTGAAATAATTGTCAGCAGACTTTGAAAAACAGGTGAGTTTTACCAGATTCCTGGTCAATATTTATCCTTCATTCAGCATGACCACAAAAAAAAGGTAGTTATTATCAGATTACGTTTTGTGGGAATTTACAATGTGCAGATTAGCAGCTGTGTTGCCAACATTACACGTGAGATGATACTTCAGAATTACTTCACTGGCTGTAAAGTGCTTTGAGACATCTAGTGGTCATGAAATACAATGTCTAAATGCAATTTTTCCATTTCAGATTCAAGCAGTTAGAATTTGGTTTTAGCTCATTTTTAGGTTCGTAATCAGTAGCGCACGTACACAACACCACATAATGGAGCCCTGAAGGCTACACTAAATTGGTCCAAAGTCCTTTCTTGAATTCCAATATGACAGGCAGAAATCAATGTACTGTGAGCATACCTGAGTACCACACCTTAAGAAAGATATATTGACCTCAGAGGAGGTGCAATATTGAACACCTAAACCCTTGAGGTTAAATTCTGAGATGAGGTTACAAAGAGTATAATTGCATTCCCTGGAATTTTTAATGTGGGTGATTTAATTATAGTCCTCTAGATATTATGGGGAACTGATAAGATGAACAGAAATAAATTATTTCTGCTAATAGGAGAGGACACTGTCTAAAAGAGCAGAACCTTTGAGCAGTGAAGTGGGCCTCTTCTACATAGAAACTTAGTAGCTGTTTAGATCTCACTTCCAAAAGCAGCAATTTATGTTAAGTCAGTTGTTAATTTTAAATCTGAGATTGATAGATCTTTGGTACCCAAAGATATTAATGGTTATAGTATAAAGTTAGGTGGAATTGATTATAATTAGTTATGATATGATTAAATGGTAGAACAAGCTCATGGGACTATAGGGTCTTCAACTATTCTTCTAAGTTTCTAAATAAAACCCTGCTACCTCTCCTTAGTGACAGTTGTGTGTCTTTTATTTCTGGACTGTGTTCTTTCTAAAGTTCTCCCCAATGAAACAAGCAAGTGAAGTACATAACTATATATTTATGTATCTGAATTTTCCTATTGAATAAAAGTGATGATGACAATTATTTTTTTTTTCAATGAGTACCCAGGCCAATAAAACAAGTCAGTAGATATTTTACAAAGACCACTTACTATAAAAGCTTCAATCTGATGGGCAACATCATTTTCCAAGCAGCTTTTACCTGCATATCAGTTTTATTTGGTAGTAGTACAGATTCTAAATTAAGAAGTCCAGATGTGAGGCTTCACAACAGGATCTGAGAACATAATGCATCCTGTCAGTCCACTGCACCTCTGAGTGAGTATGGCATATTTGCAGAGAGTTGTTTTGAGGTTTTGTGTTTTAATGTTTTAAAACCTTTTGGAAAGAAAGGGCCAAAACTGCAGATGATCATTGTGGTGGAGAGGATCTCTTCCACTGCACAGCCAGGATCACAGCTTCAGCCAGGAGGGGAGACTTGGGTTTTAGTATGTACAGTCTGCACATTATGTCATTTGAGCTATGTAAAAATTGCTTACTATAAGGTAGATTTGTTGCCATCATCTTTTTTCATATCAGGATCTACATGGCTGGCTTGATCAAGTATACACGATCTAATTCTATAGAATGAAGCCTGTCAAGTGGTTGAAATTTCAATGGGAGAGTATTTTGGGGAAAGTGACTATGAATAGTCAGTGTGGCTTGCCGGTCACTATGTAGCTCAATTTCATAATCAGACTTAATGGCATGGTAAGATGTTGACCATCACTATGGAGAACACATCTGCCATTCTCTTTCCCTTGTGCATATACTGTTGTAAGGGGCAGCATGGTGGCTCAGTGATTAGCACTGCTGCCTTACAGCACCAGTGGCCCAAGTTTGATTCTGGCTTTGATCAACTATCTGTGTGGAGTTTGCAATTTCTCCCTGTGTCTGTGTGGGTTTCCGCCAGATGCTCTGTTTTCATTCCACAGTCCAAAGATGTGCACGTTAGGTGGATTGGCCATGCTAAATTACCCATAGTGTTCAGGGATGTGTAGGTTTATGGGAATGAGTCTTCAGAGGGTCGGTGTGGACTTGTTG